GCCCCCCCCCCCCCCCTCCACCCCCTACCACACTCCACCATCATTTCAGTTTTTGTTTTTGTCAACCACGCACTAAAAAGTAATTATCTCCTTTTCAGAAGGAAAATAATCTGTACAGTTAAAAACACAGGGGGCAAATACTCATTCCCCTTCACTTGTGACACACCCTTCAAAGTTTAATGCTCAAAAACTGTAAAGTAAAAATATGAGGATGAGAACAATTTTTGTTGGTGACATTCATAGCTTCCTGGATTATTTAAAGGAAAATTAAAACAAAAAATGACTAAAATAATAATAATTTAAAAAAAACCAATCCCAAAACACCCCCCGCCCATCCCCAAATAACCCAAGACAAAAGCAAACACTTTATTAGAAAGTTCACAAATCTTCACCTCTGTCCAATCCTTTGTCTCCACCTCCCCCCCCAACCCCCACCGTTTTCCATTTTGCCCTCTGCCTCCCTCCCTTAACTTATCTGATTGTAGCCACTCCACTGTCCCCCAGCCTCTCCCCGACGAGAAATTCCTTAAACTTAAACGCCCTAAAACAACCGAACCCAGCCACCCACTGCTCCCCCGAAATCCCCCCTTACACCGTTTGTTGTACATATTATAAATGCAATGTTGAACAAGCCAGGACCGGTATTTATTATAATTTAGTTTACAACACTTCTGTACATATTGCATAATTTTTGTGTTGTGAGCCCTGACAATCCCTTGGTTCTTTGTATTCTTCCTCTCTATCTCTGCCTGCCTGTCTGTCTGTCTGTTTGTCTGTCTGTCTGTCTGTCTCTCCCCATCTCTCTCTCTCTCTGGCCACGTATTCCAACTCTTTTTTTCAGCTACCCCTCCTTATTTTTTTCGTCTCTTTATTCCCTTCCTTCATCCCTTGCTTCTTAATTTCTAAAAAAATTCTCAACTCAACATCTCCGAATCTTACCTTATGCCCCCCCCCCTTCCCCAGGGTTGCTTTTTGTACCCATCTGTTACATTAAAAAGCAACATCCTCTTTTCACCCAAAATTTTCTTTTCTTTTCACTCTAGTTGCAATAGCTTTAACACATTATATCAGGGATCCTGCAACAAAAGACAACCGCTTACACCTTTTATGTGTTGCCGAATAATTGTAGACAAGACTATTACCCAGAAAGCAAAATCAATAAACTAACGGATTGATGAAGAGTTAGCTGGAATCAGTCTCCGGGTTTGTTCTGTTACCAGTGTCCATAAAAGTTAGCCTATTTGTGCAAGCGTGTCATTGGGGGGTCTTTTTTTTAAAGTAAACATTTCATTCCCATTATTTTATGGCGCAGTTTAATCCTGATCTTGTTCAGAATACTTGAACGGTCAAAGTTTGTTGTTTGTGGTTGATTGAAAATACAGCAGTGGGCGAGAGTGAATACTTATGACACATTACAAGCTTTGCTTAGTAAGCAATGTATGGTTTACGATACTACAATGCAAATAAGTTTTAAAGATAACAACAAAGAAAAAAACCCCACACACAGAGACATACACATGCAAAAATGAAATAGGTGCTGTTGATATTTTGTTCTAGATGGGTTTGATTTTTTTTAAAAGTCGTTTTGGTTAATGCCCACAGCCAGCTAAAACATAGGCTAAAGACAGAAGATTGTATTGTTGTTCAACCTGCCTCTTTGGTACTTTCCTCTACTCTGTACTCTGCACCTAGGGAGCTTGAGTGTGTCTTGCGTAATTTCTCTTGTTTTTTTGTGTGCACATCCCTCTCTTCTCTCTCTCCTCTCCCTCCAGCTCCCCCTCTCTCTGTATGTATGTACGTACGTACGTATGTATGTATGTATGTATGTATGTATGTATGTATGTATGTATGTATGTATGTATGTATGTATGTATGTATGT